GAGTCGTTCTTCGGACTCGGCGAGTCCGGTCGCGAGTCTTAGATTCCCTGTTCAGTAGTAGCGAGTCCGTTAGTGAGTGGAGTAAAGACTCAGTGAGTTAAGACATGGATCTGAGTGTAGATGGACTCGGCGAGTCTACGCCCTGACTCGGCGAGTCCAAGGCAATCTCCTTACCCGTAAGAACAGACTCGACGAGTTGTTCATACAACTCGGCGAGTCGGATGAAGGTTGGCAGGATATCAGTAAAGAAGGAGAACTCGTCGAGTTTTGGTTAAACTCGACGAGTAGAGTCGGGAAGGGGAGTAGAAGGAAAGATAGGGACTCGACGAGTTGGCGGCCCAACTCGGCGAGTCAGGTCAACGGATTGTTGACTTTGACCAGGGGGTAAAATAGTCATTTTACCCTAAGATTAGCTATCAGTGTCTGATTAAGTGTCTTTTAGGAATTGTAGCCGGGGAGTTACCGGAGCAGCAGTCAGACAGTTCCCGAGCAACATTTCAGCAGCCATCCTTACGAGGTGAGTTTTTCTTTTCAGTAGGAACGGGTCTACGGCCACAATGCCGGCCTGTTTAGTTAGCAGTAGTTCCGGACTTCAGTCCGATGCAGTAGTTCAGTATGCTTGGTGTCTTTGTGATACAGGCATGGTATGTGTTATGTGTTCCAGACTATGGTCTGATACAGTATGCGGTATATGTGTTAATATTATATGCTATGATTATGTTATGCTATGTTCAGTTAGTTCCGGACTTCGGTCTGATGCAGTTCCGGACTTCGGTCCGATGCAGTGGGCAAGGCCCTAGTCAGTTCCGGACTTCGGTCCGATACAGTTCCGGACTTCGGTCCGATGCAGTGGGCAAGGCCCTAGTTAGTTCCGGACTTCGGTCCGATGCAGTGGGCAAGGCCCAGTATGTGCTTTATATGTTATTGTATGGTATGTGGTAGTTGGGGGGAGCTCACTAAGCTTCGTGCTTACAGTTTCAATTTTGGTTTCAGGTACTTCAGCTAGCAAAGGGAAGGGCTCGGGATGATGGCATGGCACACACCACAGTTTTAGCCTGGGAGTTAGACTCTGATATTTTGATATGATCTTGACACTAGTTTCGATTTGATAAATTTATTATGACACTTTGAGACACATGATTCATGGTTTTATCTTTTAATATTTGATATTATGGTTTAGTAAAGTTTTCAAACAAAAATGTTTGGGTTGTATTTTTGGGATGTTACAATATGTCTTTAATAATGAGTTTAGATATGTAAATGTTTAATTAGTTGGTTAATTTCTTGATTACTTAATAGTTCTTCAAATTAACAAGCAAAAAATGGTTCTTGTGTTGTTTTCACTTCACACAATCATAAAAATATTTTTTCCAATATGGTAGTGAAAGCTTTTTGATTCCTCTTGGATTTGGTGGCTTTTAAATCTTAATGCTAGTTAATTTTTATTAATTACACACATCATGGAAATTGTGACTTTAACTAAGAAAATATGTTATGAGTTTCTCTAACCATTGTTTTATTTAAGAAAAGTCTAGGTGATCTCAAGCTTCTTAGATTTTTATAGCCAAATTAGGATCCATCAAACTCATTGCACCATAAAGTTATGACGATTAATCAACTAATTGAACTTGTGATTCATCCCGACATTGGAACGTTTGTTTTACAGATTTTATATTTTTTGCATTTTAGTCATTCTATAAATTAGTTTTTATCGCATTTATATTTTGAGAAAACTCCATATCATTTTATATTTTTATTTTGTAGAAATTGAATGCATATATTTAATTCGGACCAATCCTCGTGGATTCGATCCCTATCACCGCTATTACAATTCATTTTTATATGTCGTCGTATTTAGTTTTTTTTTATTTGGTGGTCTCGACAGCCACCAGACATGGAATCTATTATGAGGAATCTTATGGATGTTGTTACATCTTACTTGTATGGAATACTTGATAGTGATATCTATATGAAAATCCCTAAAGGATTTAAAATGTCTGAAGCATTAAGTGCAAAACCCAAAGAAATGTATTTTATAAAATTACAAAGATCTTTGTATGAGTTAAAAGCAATCTGGACGCATGTGGTACAATCGTTTAAATGATTATTTAACAAGTAAAGGTTATAAAAATAACACTATTTGTCCATGCGTATTTATTAAGAAAACAACATCTGAGTATGTGATCATAACGGTCTATGTTGATGATCTAAACATCATTAGAATGAATAAAGAAATCCTTGAAGTGACTGAACTTTTAAAGAAAGAATTTGAAATAAAAGATCTTAAAAAAACAAATATTGTCTTGGTTTGCAGATTGAGCATATATCTAACAGAATACTTGTGCATCAATCAAATTACGCAGAAAGAGTCTTGAAACATTTCAATATGACCAATGCCAATCCTTTTAGCATCCCGATGGTTGTTAGATCATTAAATATTGACAAATATCCATTTCGTCCCCACAAAGAAAATGAAGAAGTTCTTGGTCCAGAAGTATCATATCTAAGTGCAATTGGGGCTCTTATGTATCTTACCAATTGTATTAGACTCGAGATTTCTTTCGCTGCAAACTTGCTAGCAAGGTTCAGTTCATCCCCTACAAAAAGACATTGGAATGGGATCAAACATATTTTTCGATACATTCGAGGAACTACTAATTTAGGGTTATTTTATCCTAACAATTCAAACCAAGGCTTGATTGGGTATACAGATGCAGACTATTTATCTAACCCTCATAAAGCTAGGTCTCACATTGGATATGTATTCATGAATGGAGGTACCTCAATTTCACGGCGTTCTCAAAAGCAAACACTTGTTTCCACATCCTCAAATCATGCTGAAGTAATTGCACTAAATAAAGCTAGTAGAGAATGCACATGGTTAAGATTGACGAGACAACTCATTTTGTCTTCATGTGGACTAGATAAAGATAAAGATCCAACTTTAATTTATGAAGATAACTCAGCATGCGTCACTCAAATGAAAGAAGGATATATCAAGAGCAACATGACAAAACATATACCTCCAAAGTTCTTTGAGTACATTCAAGAGCTTATAAAAGATCAAAAGGTTGAGATAAAATATATGTTAAATCCAACAACAATACAACAAACCTCTTCACTAAATCACCCCCTACTATAATCTTCAAAAAGCATGTGCATGGCATCGGAATGTAACATGTGCATAACATATAATGTAACAGATGTCTAAATGAGGGGGGGGGGGGGGGGTAAACTATACAATACACTCTTTTTCCATTCGCTAAAGTTATTCACTTGTTCGAATATATCTTTTACTATTAAACAAATATGTCTATATATATGCAGGGCCCTCAAAAGCCACATCTACAAGCTCTCAAATGTATCGTTAAGTATGTTCGAGTACACTAAACCACGACCTTTAGCTCTACGTTTCCCATAAATCAAGTTTCACAACTTACTAGGATGACTAGAGGGTATTCGTCTAATAAACGATCTACTTCTAGTTACTACATATTCCTTGGCGACAAATATGTTTGTATTTGAGTATTATTTTTTATTTGTATTACTTTTAGGCTTTTGCATTGATTTGAGAGATTTTCTACTTTTTTTTATTTGCACAAGAACGAAGATAAAGAAATGGAGAAGACAAGGGTAAAATAAACATTTTCAAATATTTAACATTAGATTGTTTCATTTGACGACTAAAGCACCGATAAGCGATAACTTTATGAAAGAGTGAAATAAGGCCCACTATAATTTACTCTAGATAAAATTACATGGATGGTTCATGTGGTTTGCACAAACACGTATGGTTATGACAATTATGATTGCACATACATGCTTCGTCTAGATGGTTTTATTTATTGTGTGGTTAGTTTTTTGGGTTTCAATTTTTTTTTCTTAAAATTGGTCAAAAAATACTATTATGCCACCGATTGAATTTATTATTAACTTTTACGTATAAATTTTATTTGAATATTTTATTAATAAAAGAATGTCCTAGCTAACCCTATCGCTAAAACTCATTACCTTCTTTTACCAGATTCCTCATCTTGAAGAGGCAACCATCACCTTAAGCTTCACCCTACCATCGCCTGTCAGCCACCACCATCACCACCACCTTCAGCTCCATCATACCTCTAATTCATCACACTATAGAAATGTATATCACATGTAGTTGTAAACACCATACCATGGAACGATGCCCCTAGTTCACCCAAAACCAACCCTTTAACCACACTCCGCCACCATCACTATCGTTTGATGAATGCGTTACCACCACCACCACAGTTACATCAATCCAAACCCTAAACCATTGTCATTTCAAAAACAAGAATTTAGGGCTTTGTTTTTAGGGTGCTATGGTTTTGGTGATAAAGTAGAGAGACCGAACGAAGAAGCCTCGGGAAGCTCTAGTGATGATGGTGTGTTCCGGCTATACAAGGCGGCTTCGACGATTTTTTTTACTCTTTCAGATAAGAAGGCAAACGATGGATGTGGTTCAGACACAGAGAAATAAACACAGATATGGTATGCCGATATGAGGGAGAAAGATGAGGAGGATAGTAATTGTGGCGCGATATGTGGCAAGGATGGTGGTGACAGACCAAAACTATGGTAGGTATGATGGTGACAGACCAGATCTGTGGCTATTACACAAAACGGTTACGAAAACCCACACATAGACCGACGACATATTGTTTCGGACCAGAACTGAGCTGGAGAGATATAGAAAATGGGAGGGAGATAATCTAATAGGGTTCTATTTGGGGGTGGTGAGGTTTTTTCATTTTCATTTTTTTTCTTTTTTATTAAAATTAGTTAAAAATAAAATATAAAATAAATTAAAAATATATATTATTGTCATGTGTGAAAAGGACCAATCAAGCGAAAAATGAAATCACGTGGACCAAACGGTAATGACTATCATAGTTATAAATGCCTCTTTGGCAACCCCTAGGGACCATTCGCATAATTTGTCTTTACTCTATAATAATTAATAAACGAAAGATGAAGTACTGCATTACTGTTTCTTGAAAGGTAACCATAACAAAAAGACCAGAAAAATAATTAGTCACTGATTAATTAAATCTTGCATTAATACAACAAACACCTAAAGTCTTCTATCTTGAAACATAAAGGATGTACACGAAGCTTTCAGAATCAGAATACGTGTCTTAAAACACTATTCTGATCATCCATGATCAGATTTTCACGTGCAGTTCTTTTAAAAGTTGAGAAAGGCTTCATCCTCAAAAATACCATCTTCAAAGTTCTAAGACCACGACTGTTGCAGAAACACACAAAAAATTCATATCAGATAAACTGAATTCATGAATGACTGACTTTTCCAAGTGCAATATCGAATCTATATAAGCAATCAATCATTCTTAATTAGAAAATATAAAAGAAACTACAGTTAATTTATAAGAACAATTGATATCATATCACTGAAGAAACTTACAGTCTGAATCGGTTGTGATCCAGCTTCCTGATCCTGCTGATCTCAGGCTTACAGAGCTCGATTTGCCATCGGGGTCAGAATGAATTTCAATGTTAACCTTTTCGTCATTCCTATTCGAAGACAATGCAGAAGAAAATGTAGAACAACTCTCGACTTCCCATCTGAAACTAATCTTTGGAGAGTCATCGGTCATTTGATCGTCATTTTGTAGAGTTTTAACTGTCGTTTTGTTTCTAAACTGCGATACCTGAAAAATAATCTACAGAAATAAATCTCCATTACTCCATAAAACAATATTAAAAACAAATTATGAGATATGATAGTTGCATGAATACGAACCTTTCGAGCTATGTATTTCCCACCCTTGTCAGATTTTGCAGCAGCAGCCCATCTCAACAACTCTAATTTCATTTTAGAAATTGTTTTTATTTTTTCTCCCTTTTCTTTCTTCAGATCAAGACTCAGGTTTGGGTTCTTCGAGGATGACAAAGTTGTAGTTGACTCGTAGTTGACTGGCAAAACTTTATTTCCCACGCGAACTACAACGACATCGTCCTTCTTTTGAGAACCACCAAACTTTAGTCCTCGAGCAATATCTTCTTTCTTCATCTTCATAAAGTTCATTAATTAAACACTTGAATCCGACTGGATTTCCTCCAACCTAAACTCTCAACATGACTAAGATGTGGTGATGGTGGTAGTGGTGGTGGTGGTGATGGTGATGATGATGGTGGTGGTGGTGGATGAGGAGGGAGGAAGATGGTGGTCCTAGAAGAACCAGTGTAGCATCTGTTCATGATGTGTGTTTAAGCTTTAATAAAGAAGTAAGAACATGGTGCCCTCAATGATTTTGATTAAAATATGATTAGAGATAAGTATATTATTTATGCTAATTTTGGTTATATAATAGTTTTTAGTATTTTTATTTTAGGGTTTAGGTCATTTTTAGTCACTTAACTTTTGGTTTTGTGCTCATTTGGTTATCTAATTATTTTTAAGTTTTAAAAGGTCATCAAACTTTTGACTTTGTGCTCATTTAGTCACTTACCTTTTGGTTTGGTCACTTAACTTTTGGTTTGGTCATATTTAGTCACCTAACTTTTAAAATTGTGCTCGTTTAGTCACTAAACTTTTAAAAAAATTTAAAAGTTTAGTGACAAAATGAACACAATTTTAAAAGTTAGGTGACTAAATATGACCAAACCAAAAGTTAAGTGACTAAATGAGCACAAAGTCAAAAGTTTGATGACCTTTTAAAACTTAAAAAGAGTTACGTGACCAAATGAGCACAAAACCAAAAGTTAAGTGACCAAAAATGACCTAAACCCTTTATTTTATGAGTGAAATTTGTATGGTATAAAATACACGAAATTATGTGTGATTTTATCGTATGCATGTTTGATTTTTATTACTGTTAGATAATAATGAATTTCACCACATTTATAATAGTGTGTTACAATTAATGTTCGAAAAATGATGAAAACTTATAAAATCGTAACGTAGAGGAAAAAAATAATTAAAAAAAAAGAATAGTGCGGTGGGGCAAAATTGGTCAAATGGACAGCTGAAGGAGATCTAGCTGTGCTGTCTGCGTGTGTCTGTGTGTGCGTGATGCCAAGGATCAAGATTCCCACAAAAACAATGCAAATACTATTTTGGTTTTAATTTGTTTTAGAGAATATATAATCATTTGATAATGCTGATTAACAGATCGATCAACGAGTTAGGTAATATAAGACTAATAAGTAACAGATCAAACTAACGTCGTATTTACACGTAAAGGATTAAATGGATCAATATTAATTACCATCTTAAGTGTTAATATGTTTTTGTTTTCTTAGATTTTGGTTCATAAGCTTCATTTATTTTATTGATATTTTAGATGTTTAATTAAATGTTATACATATCTTTTGTATTCAGACTCGAACAAGATTAAGTCGAATTTTAATTCGTATAATTTAATTAATTCAATTTGTTAACGTAAATAATATTCTATGAAAGTAATGTTAAGAGTGGGTGATGAATCTAAAGGAGATGATTAAAGAGGGACAACCAAGCAAGGTTGTGGGAAATGTGTGTGTGATTGTTTTTTATAGAGACAATTATGTGGCGGTTTAGTCCATTAATTAATATTAAATATTAATATTGATGTTTTTTAATCTTAAAATTATCAATATGATTATAACGAGTAATTATAACCCTAATTTTATTACTTAAAGACTTTTTATACATTTTTTTTACAATTTTCTTTAAGACTTGTTTTAACTTTTTATAAACTTTTTTACAAAGTCTTTTTATTATAAAAAAGTATCTCTAAAAGTTGTAAAAAAAGCAGTAAAAAAGTTTAGATAGGGTTGTAAAATATGTTGTATAAACATTTATAAAAAGTTTAAAAATGTCTAATTTGTTTTTTAAAAGTCTAAAAAAAGATGTACAAAACTTAAATTTGTAAAAAGAATAATAATAATAATTAAAATTTTTTTTGGATGAATTTGTAAAAAAAAGTTTGAACCAAACTCATAATAAAATTTAAAATATAGGTCAAAATTGTGCTAACCAAACAAAAATTTAGAGTTTGTTACTTTTTATACATTGTTGTGGAGATTATCATAGGCGAATAAGGGTAAATGCGACTGAGGTGACAGTTATGTGTTCTTGGTCTCTCATCGATGTTTACCATGGCAGAGACAACATCGTCTCGAATGGAGTTTGGAGTAGCAGGGGCGGTTTTTGTAAAGGGCACGTAGTGGCAGGTGCAATACCTGACTTTTCCGAACACAGTGCAAATATTTTCGGAATTTTTTGATTTTTTATACTATCGTGCAACTATTGACTTTCCCGTCACATCCCTACTATGAAATCATGTGTCCGCCCCTATGCAGTAAGAACACTCATAATGAAGCACCGAAGACGTGAGAGAGATATCGGCGGAAAAAAAATGAGCGGGGAAGAAGGATGATAAAGATGTGTGTTTGTATGAGAGAGAGAGAGAGAGAGAGAGAGAGTTTCTACTTTAATAGCAAATTAGTTTGGCTGATTTTGTGAGAGAACTTTTTCACACCCAACTAGTGAAGAACCCATGCTTTGCATGTGATAAAACCGTAAACTTAAAAACATAGGGACTAAAGGTGTCAACATTATGTTAAAAGTGGAAAACATTATGTTAAAATGTTGTTCCACTTTTAATATATATATATATATATATATATATATATATATATATATATATATATATATATATATATATCATTAAAAACTCTGATCTTATGGTCTAGATTTGGTTATCACGTCTTTGTGTGTGTGTATAACATATTGGGGATCACCGTCAACTATAACTTTAACTTCCAATCTCCTATGTGGGAGGCCATTGTTCCATGGAATGAATTAATCGACAAGGACATGAATGTTTGAAGTGTGGCCGAGTTGAAAAATTCTTGAAGGCTTTGAGATGCAGGATGTCGATGGGGGAATCGAATGGAATCTTAAAGATCCAGATGATGTGATACTTGTCATGAAATTTTTGGTGGGAAGAGATATTTTATATTTACATGGTTAAAGGTATGCATAAAGAGGTCTCTTAAATCAAACGTAATGAAGTTAATCATATGGACCTAAAATGGGGACGCACATAAGAGGTGATACTCAAATATAAGAAGACACAAAAAGGATGATGGTAATGCGATTGTCTTCTTCTTTCTTTTTTACGAATTTTTCCAAAGGTTATTTTGTAGGTTAATTATGGTGTTTATGGCCGTTATTGCAACTCCAAATAAACGAACCATAAACTATTATATCCAATTTTATGTCAAAAGTTAATAACTATTAAAGTGAAAATGCAAATGGTTTAGATAAACTATAAAAATCAAATCAACAAAAAAACGATAGAAAATGTAATTTAACAAACAAAGACACGATGCATACTGTTTTAGTGAACCATAGAACTCAATCTTGGTCCTTATATGAAAACGATCAATGGCCAAGATTACAGAATAACCACACAGTTGCATCTGATTACAAAACTATTAGTCCCCTAATCATAATTATGGGATGAACTCTGTTACACGGTTTTGCTAGAATAGACAATAATGAGATCATTGTTTTAGACAAATAGTAAATGATGCAAGAGTTACTCAATTTTCCTGTGAATGCCAAACAATTAGATTCCGTCATCTTTAATTATTTTTATTTATATTTTAAAAAATCTTTATACAATTATGACATAAATGTAATGTGAAATTCTTGAATAGTACACTTCCGCTCAAACGATGAATCCAGTAATTCTTAATGAAAATGAGTATTTTAACATTCAGACAAAATTTACTTGTCTATATACTCTTCCATGTGATCTTTTAGGTCCCAACCAATAACAATGGTCCTCTCAAAAGTTCTCATGATCTCGATCATACCAAACCAATCATATTAAATTTGATAATTGCTATAATCGACTAAAAATCAATTCTTGATCCTGTTAGGACCACAAAAGCATAAAAAAAAATATCAATCTTTGAACACTATCATTATGTTTATATATTTCATGCTAGAAAGGCCTAAACTGACATTGGAAGGAGTTGCAATTGGGTGTATCTAGCCCTAATTTTAAGGCCAAAATAGATAACCAAAGGAGGTCTTCTTTGGTAAATTGAATAGTCAAAGGAGTGAGGAAGCAAAATTACACTTTTCTGTTTCACTTTTATGCATGTTGAGTGGTTTGGGCATATGGAAACATGATTCCAGGACAAAAGACAATGAGGTGCAAAATTAAAGATGATGCATGCTCACCTCACATGGGTCCTTACAAATTCATTTATAATTAAAAAAAGAAATTAATAAATTTGAGAGTGGACGAGGGATGCCAAATTACCAACATGGAAATATGCTCTTACCAAATAATATCTTCTCTCTTTTAAGACTTCAAATCATGATTTAGATTTCTGGATATGTAATTACTGTAGTACAACTACTAATTCATTAACTATTAGTCCTGCAAGCAAAAAAACAGAAAACAAAATTAGGGACGATTTTGTAAATCATAATACATATCTTTATCATAAGATCAACAAATACAAATTTGCCCTTTAGTAACCCTTTGGAAAACTCCCCTGTCTACAAGCCACCTGTCTTTTCATTCTGGATCTGGAGAACCACCAGGGACCAGCTGCATTAAGACATTGAATAGATAAATATTGTTAGAATTGATACTTATAGTGACATTTGTTTTTGAAATGTAAGGGTAAAATGGTCATTTAGTATAAAGGAAGTAGAGAAATGTCAAAGGGACTATGCAAAAATTATGCAAGGAACCTTTAAAAGATGGAAAATATTCTTTTAACAAAAGAAAACATTGAGGTGCAAAATAAGCATATAGGGCTAGTGAGAAACACCATCTAAAGCAAAGGTTAAAAGCATCTTTACTCATTAGGCAAGAGGTAAAACATGAGAAATCTCTCCTAAACAATATAACTTAAAGATGGTTAGAATAACTAATATTACAAAATAGAAGAAAAGCAACACGATATTAACCATCATTGAAACGTTTCAAAATTTTCAGAACTTGCACATCTTTGATACTGTTGCTAAGCTACTGATAAACCATATTTTGTTCATGAATAGAGTTTGCACCCTGATAAACCATATCTACAACTGATAACATTTTTCAGGAATAAATCAACATATAGCCAAAGAAATACAGAGAGAGAAAGAGAGGTACTCACTACTCTGTAACGGCTTCGAGTACCATATTGACCTAGACATCAAAACCCTTGAGAGTACCAACATTTTCTTTGTCGCCTTT